AATACAGAAAAGCTATCATCAATGTCTAGAGATGTTCAAGAATCTTGAGTATTTATACTGAACTACTTATGTAGCCAAGCAAATACCTGGAGGGAAACTCTTGTCTTATCAGGATTCTTCACTACAAACTCTTCAGTTTCTTTTCAGCCACCCTTGAGCAGCAAACCCAGTCCTAGAAACAGTTAACCTGGGGCCCTAGACCTGTCATTTATATGCAAGATCCTCAAACACTTGGATGACAGCCATGGACTCTGAGCTCTCCAGAGATGTGCTCTGCATCTCCCCCAAAAGAAATCATTCACCAACAGCAAGCACTGATACAGAGTGATTCTGAAGTAGAAAAGAATTTTACCCCCAATTTGGATTCCACGGTCAATTGAACATGCCAGTGCCCAACACTCACTTCCCTTCCACAAAGTCATATGTTCATCAGAAAAAATTTATATAAACAATATTGTATAATACAAACTCTCATGCTACAAGCAGCATGAGCCAATTTCAGTTGCATTCCCTCCTTTTATGACCACCTAGACTAGTGTTTAGATCTGATGGGAAAGGGATCTGGAGATTTAGAACAGACTTTTGTTATAAATACTAGTACATGCTGGATACATTAATGACACTGTGTTCTGTATGTGAAAATGGTGGCAGGGACATATTTTTGTTATCTACATTTTGTAAGAACATGTAGTTCTCTAAATCAGTGACTCTTAATAAGATTTGAAATAATGTATGCTTACTCAATATTATAGTTTTCAGTTTACATTTAAAAGGTGTTCTGTACTATCGACTTTGAACTGATCAATAGCTGATCCTCCAGTGGGTTTTCAAAGGTAGTAAGTAACACAGGAGGAAACTGTCTTTTTCTCGTGGAGCAGCTGGATAATTCGAACCATGTACTTCTGCACTGGCATGGTAATTCTTTACAACTAAGACACCAGAGGTTCCTAATTAAGGTGGAAAGTGAATAAATTACAGAGAGGAAAGCAGAACAAAATATTTTTTTTCCTCAGAGGGGATAGGCAGTTACATTATTTCAAACTGGAGATGGTGCAGAAGAGGAAACCAATTGCTTTCCTCTGTGAGTTTATCAAAACCTCTGGGGGGGGAAAAATGAAGATTTCTTTTTTTTGTTTATCCTAAAAGTTGTTTAAGGAGGCTTAGAAACACTAAATAGAAAGGAAAGTAAACCTTCCTTCCTAAGTGAATATATATCATTCTTGATTAATTCCTTTCTTAGTACTGCCTGACACTGAGTACTATTTAATGATCATCTACTTTGAGTAGTATTTGTGGCAAAATTTAGGATTCCTTGCCAGCTCTTTCTATTCCTCTATATAAGCTCCAAGAGCTAAAAAGCGATGCTGTATAAAGCCTGGCATGAAGTTTAGGCTCTTAGGCTCTCAGACTGCCACTGTTCAAACACTATAAATTATACAACACTAAAAAAAGGCCATTTATTACTACTGGTTTCCACTAGTCAAAGTCTAATTAACACAATTTTAAAGTTATTTCATATTACAAAGTTTTAAAGATTTTCATATCTACCATTTCAACTGTGCCCTATAATTACCCTATAAAGTAGTAAAGGGATTATATACTCCAATTCAAACATGAAGTAATGAATTTTAGAAAGATTAAGAGATTCTCCAAATTCACAGAAAGTGAAGTTTAGAGATCTTTCATTTTCTACTTCAAGTTTCATTCAGTATTTGGTCAAAAGAACAAAGAATTTAAAAAGAAAAAAAATTCCATTGAAAATACAAAACCCAACAATTGATATTTTACTTTTTCCCCCCCAACAAGTCCAAAAATTTGAAAAGTAAACCTTCCTAATTTGAATTACTTACCGAGGATATCTTGTTGCCTTTCAGATTAAGGACTCTCAAAGATTTTAACTTCTTTGCTAGCCATCCTGGAATATGTTCAATTTCATTTCCTGCAAGGTTTAGCTTTTGGAGGTTACACATATTTTCTATGCCTTCAATTTTGCTGGAGATCAAAGGATAAAATCAGACAAAATTAGTATAACAGCAGAAGTCCCTCCCTCCACTATACATTTTTTAGAATAAACACCTTGGTCTCTTTAAGGTTACTTTTTATAATTTTAATTTCTCAAACCTTTTTCATTAAAGGTTTACTGAATAATATACTGATACGAATGATTAATCCCACAATAAGGGATATAACTTTCACTTTTCTGTAAAACGCTGGTCTGTCTGATACTTCTCTCAATCTGAATATTCAGATTAAGACAGATTAGGAAGAAGGATTGGCCATCCACTTCTGAAATAGCAGGCCTCCGAAAACCCTATGTACAACTCCCAGGAATAGATGGTATCCCAATTGAGATATTTCCACTAACAGTTGCTGCCCTGGTTGTGCTAACCAAGTTGTGCCAAGAAATCTGGAGAACAATCACTTGGCCAACTGACTGGAAGAGATCTATATTTGTTCCCATCCCAAAGAAGGGTGACCCAACAGTGTGGAAACAATAGAACAATATCATTAATTTCACATGCAAGCAAGATTCTACTGAAGATTATCCAAAAATGCTGGAACAACACATCAGCAGAGAACTGCCAGAAGTCCAGACTGGGTTTAGAAGGGGTAGCGGTACTAGGGATACTGTTTCACAGCACATCCTTAATGTAATAAGCTGGTGAAATAGACTATATTTAGGAAAAATGTGTCAAAAATGGAAATGTTGTTATTATATGCCATCGAGTTGACTGCAACTCCTACTGACCCTATGCACAATAGCTCTGAACCCTGATCTATCCTGAACCAATTTCATTGTCCCTGACCTATCCCCATTCCCCTGTTACTGTATTACTCCATCTTATCCAAGGTTTCACTCTCCTGTGCTGTTCCTTCACCCTTCTAAGAATGATGTCCTTTACCAAGGACTGGTTCTACCTGGCTTCATGCCCAAAGTATGTGAGATGGAGCTTTAAAATCCTTGCTTTCAAGGAACAATCTGATTTCAGCCTCTCCAGGACAAATCTGTTTGTTCTCTTAGCAGTCCATGGTATGTTACATGTTCTTCTCCAGCACCACAACTCAAAGGCATTGATTCTTCTTCTATCATTCTTAGCCACTGTCCAGCTCTCTGAAGCATAGCAAATAGTTGCTAAGACCATGGCCTGGATCAAGTGCACCTTACTCTCTAGACTGACATCATTACTCACTAGCACTCTGGAGAGGTCCGTAACAGCAGACTTTCTCAGTGCAATTTGTCTTTTGGTTTCCTGACTGCTGGTGCCAAGAATGTTGACTGTGGACACAAGCAAGCTGAAACTGTCAACAATCTCAATCTCTTCTCCATCTATCATGGTGCTATCAATTGGTCCAGTGGTGAGACTCTTGTTTTCTTGATCTTGAGCTTAAATCCATACTAAACACAAGAGTCCTTGACCTTCTTCAGCAAATGCTTCAGGTCCTCCTTAGTTTCACTGAGAAAAGTTGTGTCATCTGCATAATACATGTTGTTAAAGAGTCTTCCTCCAAATTTAGTACTAAAAAACATAACTCATTCTTTGATGGTATTAGAATAGGGCAAGTTCATAGGATTGCTTTAGTTATAGTCAACCTAACAAAAACAACAACTTTCTGTACTTCAGTATTGCCAAAACATAAAGGCAATTACCATATGTGGAAAGCTAGTCTCCAGGTGAATAAGGATCAAAGTGACTACCCTTTCAAAGTATTCTTTAAATAACTTGGGGTAGCATTAATCTACACTTCTTATAAAGATCATGCAATATTATCTAAAGTATATACTTACTTGATCTTGTTATATGATAAATTGAGTTCACGTAATTTTAACAGCTTATCCAATTTCTCAATCTTCCCAATGAGGTTATAGCTCAGATTCAGTACTTCAAGTCGAACACATTTTTCCAGATTTTCAATATACTAATTGGAAACAAATGAATAACTACTTAATATAACAAATACCTTTATATAAAACATAACGTTTAAGTCTTGCACTAGGGACCATTTTGATCAGTTTTAAAGAATAATGAACTCTTCTGGATCTCTGACAATTGATAGTGCAGGTCCTCTTGAGCCAGAAAACCCCAAAAAAACCAGAATGCCATTGAGTTGGAACTGACTCGTAGGTGACTTTCCAACACATTTGTAAAGGCTGTAAACTGCACCAGGGAAGATCGGCCATCTTTTACTCATAGAGTTGCTGGTGGCTTGGAACCATAGGAGAGGTGCCACCTCTGCTCTAAGAATGCAACTCCCTAGGGACTAACCACAATAGCTCCTTGAACAGGGGTAACAACTTTCCAAGTTGCCAAACTCTACTTGCCCCTTGCAGATCACAGCACTTCTTAAGTACTAAGAGACTCAAGACTACCTAAAAACAACCCCATTATCCTTCCCATCACCCTCCTGCCTTTTTCCATCTCTAAGAAATAGCTTCCTTCTTTTTAAGTTAAAATAGGAACTTACACTCTTAAAGAACTAGTATTTTCATGCCATATTTATCACAGCTTATTGATCTAATCTCATTTTACAACAAATAAAGCCAATGTCTATACTTAGAAACGGAGAGCAACTAACTTACCCTAAATTTCTTGCCACCACCTTTAGAAAGTGAAAGGTTTAGAGATTTTACCAAGGCTAGGTTGTCCTGTTTACCAAGCTTTTTAACAAGGGCCTCAGTAATATACCGGACTCCTACATGTGAACCAGCTTCTGAAATTATAGAAATAGATCAATATCAATAAAGAAAGATATAAAAACTCATAAAGTAAAATTATTTTGATGCTGTATAACAAAAACATGTTTTTAAATCATACAAAATCTCCTTAGTTCTGAGCAAACCATTCTTTTAGATATCCTTTCATAGTGACAACAGTTATGATGGCCTAGTGATAAGAAGTTGTATTGCAATCCCAAAGACACATGGTTTTAATCCACCAATCACTCTATGGAAGAAGGATGGGCAATTTGCTACTGTGCAATTCACTGCCTCTGAAAATCTGCTGGAAAAGAACAAGTTGTATGTCAAACTTTGAGTGCTTTAAATTTGAAAAATTTCACTTGTACAATAAATCTCTGAAATAAAACTATTATTAATCCCATTGATTAAAAAAAGGAAAGGTAAAATCCTTTACTCAAGAGCTTATAGCTTTGTTGTCATTAGGTTCTCCTGTTACTGGAGGAGAAAAAGAGAGAATAGAAAAAATGGGGCCAATCAAATATTATTGTTGAATTCTACTTGTAGCTCCTCTGGCGACAGAAGAGCACCGCCCCATGGAACTTCCCAGGCTGTCATCTTTATGGGAGCAGACTGCCAAGTCTTCCTCCAGCAGTCACTGCACAAATGTGAATCACCAATCTTTTAGTAGGCAGTTAAATGGTTAAATGCTTAACTTTTGTGGCAATTTGATCAATCAAATGTTATAATGTATTAACACAAATTGTGTTCAAAGCTTTAAACAAAGTATTTTGTTGAAAATTACTTGTACAACAAATTCTGACATAAAAACTATTGTTGTTATGTATATTGAGTGCCTGCTACTCATAGTGATCCTATGTACAGCAGCTCTGAACCCTGCTCTATCCTGTGACAATCTCCTTGTCTCTGACACATCTACCTCCATTACTCCAGTCACAGAGTCAGTCCATCTTATCCGGGGTCTTCCTCTCTTGTGCTGTCCCTTCACCCTCCCAAGTATGATATCCCTCTCCAAGGCCTGGTCCCTCCTTGCAACATGTCCAGAGTAGGTCAGACAGAGCTTCAGTACTGCTACCTCCAAGGAGGAGCCTGGTTTCACCCTCTCCAAAATGAATCTGTTTATTGTCCTAGCAGTCCACGGTTTATTCAATACTCTTCTCCAGCACCACAGCTTAAAGGCATTCTATCATCCCTATTCATTGTCCAGCTTTCTGATGCACAACAAGTAAATGCAAAGACCATAGCCTGGATCAGGTGCACCTTAGCCTCTAGACTAACTGACATCGTTGCTCTGCAGTACTCTGGAGAGGTTTCTGACAGAAAGTCTCTGATTTTCCCAATGCAATCAGTCCTTAATTTCCTGATTGTTGATTGTGGAGCCAAGCAAACTAAAGCTGTTAGTAATCTCAAGCTCTTCACCATCTATCATGATGCTGACAATTGGCCCAGTGACGAGAATCTTTGTTTTCTTAATGTTGAGCTTCACTCTATATTTAAGGTGTCAGTCCCTGACCTTCTGCAGCAAATGTCTCAGACCCTCCTGAGTTTTGGCAACAAGGCTATGTCATTATTAACAACATTATTAACAATATTACTGACAACCACCCCTTTTATGAAAAAGAGATAAAATCATTAGCTTTGCTTTTCTTGTCAAATGATTCATAGCTACCCTAGGTACAAGAGAATGAAACCACACCCAATCCTGTGCCATCTTCACAACTTTCACTGTGTTAAGTCCACAGTCACAATCATCATGTCAATCTAGCTCCTTGTGGGTCTTACTCTCCTTTGCTGACAACTCTCTACTTTTGGGAGCATTATATCCCTTGTCAAAGACTGGTCCCTCTTAATGACATGCCCAACTTACGTGATAGGGTGTTTAGAAGCATCCTTGTTTCTAATGAGCACTCTGACTGTACATTCTCCAAGAAAGATTTATTTGTTCTCTTAGCAATCCGTTTTATATTCAATATTCTTCACTGATACCACAATTTAAAGGCATTAATTCTTTTTCAACCATGCAACTAATAAAGTTCAAGTCAAGCCCCGAACTCAGTCAAATTAATCCAACATGTGCACTTTTCATTTTATGCAGCACTTAAGCTTTTATAGCAATATTTTCATGCTGTTTTTTTTAAACAAACTAGTATTATGTAATGGAGCTCTGGTGGCTTAATAGTAAGGAATTGTGCTACCATTCCAAAAGCACATGGTTCAAAATCACCAGCTGCTCCATGGTGGAAGGATGGGTTCTATGGGAGAATTTCTGTGTAATTTACTGCCTCTAAAAACCTGTTAGAGAGTTAGCTATGAGTCAGTTACAACTCAATCACACATCACAACATTATTAGCTAAAATTTTTATTCCTACTGAAAGTTTAGAAACATTGTCATTCTTAAAAACTTTATTTCATTTTTTTAAGTGAGAAATCCTAATTTCTTATAAAATATTTTATACATAAAATATTAACTTGATAAACAGAATGAGATGAAAAATCATCTTATGACCTTTCTGGATATTACCGTCAGACTTTTAAAGCCATTCAACATTTTACAAAGACATGTAGTAAGAACTGTTCCTTGATTTATAAGTCAGGGGGATGGAAATCAATCCTTCGTTCAGTTCTAGGCTGGAAGTGAAAGATACCCTGTGCTTATGAGCTTTGATGGTGCAGTACTGTGTTGCTAATCAAAAGGCTGCCTCTCCAGAGGTTTGAATCCAACAAAGGCTCCAGTGAAGAAAGATGGGCAGTCTCCCCCCATTATGCTTTACAGCCTCAGAAGTCTGTGGAAGGAATCATTAGAGAAACTCAGTATTAGTGGTCAAAACCAGGCCAGGCGCTAACTGTGGAACAGATCATCAATTACTCAGGTCCTAGTTCAAACTGAGGCTGAAGAAAATGATAAAATAAGTCCATGAGAATCAAATATGATCCTGAGTTTGTCCTACCTGAATTTAAAAGTTCTTTTAAGAATAGGATTGAAGCACTGAACATCAGTTTTAGAAGACCAGAGGAGTTGTGGGATGACATAAAGGCTATCATTCATGAAGAGAGCAAAAGGTAACTAAAAGGACAAAGGAGAAAGAAAAAACCAAAATGGATGTCAGAAGAGACCCTGAAAATTGTACTAAAGCATTGAGAAGCCAAAACAAAGGGAAGAAATATTAAAATAAAATAGCATATTTCAAAGGGTAACTCAAGAAGACAAGGCAAAGTATTAAAATCCAATGTGCAGAAGCCAAGAATTGAAAATTATAAATTAAAGATTTGGCTTGGTATTTCTCAAGCTAAGAGAACTGAAAAATAAATTCAAGCCTTGAGTTGCAATATTAGAGAATGCTATGGGCAAAACCTTGTATGATCTAGGAAGCATCAAAAAAAGATGAAATAATACACGCAGAATACACGCAATCACTGTATCAAAAATAACTGGCTGACACTGGAATATTTCCTGAAGCACCGTATAATCAAGAACCAATGCTAATGAAGCTAATGAAGGAAGAAGTTCAAGCTGCATTGGGCATTGGCAAAAAATAAGGCCCCAGGAATCGAAGGGACACCAATTGACATGTTTGCAACGACACATGAAGCCCTGGACGCCCCACCAATCTATGTGTTCACCAGTCTATGCCAGGAAATTTGGAGAACAGCTGCCTGACCAGCTGACTGGAAGAGAGCTATATTTGTTCCCACTCCTAAGAGAGGTGATCCAAGGGGAGCTCTGGTGGCCTAGTGGCAAGAAGCTACACTGCAATGCCAGAGGTGCACAGTTTGAATCCACTAGATGCTCTGCCAGAGAAGGGGGGACAATCTCCTCCTGATCCTGTCAAATCCAATTTGACAGTACACACATGCAAAACTGATTTTTTTTTCTTAAAAAAAAGTGATCTAACAGAATGTGGAAGTTATAGAACAATATATTTAATATCATTTTCAATCAAACTACTGAAGATCATTCAAAAAAGGATAGAACAATTCATAAACTGCGAACTACCAGAGGTTCAAGCTAGATTTAGAAGGTGCCACAACACCAGGTATATCATTGCTGATGTTAGATGGCTCCTGGTTGAAAGCAAAAAAAACCAGAATGTCTATTTGTGCTTTATAGACTATGTAAAGGCATTTGACTATGTAGATCATAACAAATTATAGCTAACACTGAGAAGAATGGGAACCCCAAAACACTTACTGGGCTCATGTGAAACCTATATATATAGACCAAAAACCTGTTATACAAACTGAGCAAGGGAACACTACATGGTTTAAAATTAAGAAGTGTGTCAGGGTTGTATCCTCTCTCCTTACCTATACAATCAGCTTGCTGAGTAAATAATTCAAGAAGCTAGACTCTATGAAGAAGAATGTGGCAACAGGACTCATCAGTAACCTTCGTTATGGAGATGACACAACCGTGCTTGCACAAAGTGAGGAGGACTTGAAGTGCTTGCTGTAGAAGATCAAACACTGCAGCCTTCAATATGGATTATATCTCAACATGAAGGAAACAAAAATTTAATAATAATAATAAGCAACATAATGAAAGATGGAGAAAATATTGAATTGTAAGGCTTCATCTTGCTTGGATTTACAACCAATACACTTGGCACCAGCAGTCAAGCAATCAGGAGCTAGGAAATACCAGTCAGAAACTTCTCAAATTAGTAAGGAGCAATGATGTTATGCTAAGGATTAAGGTGTGCCTGGTTCAGGCCATAGTCTCTTCAATCACTTGCTACACTGCTGAAAGCTAGACAATGAATAAAGATGACAGAAGAATTGAAGCCTTTGAACTTTGGAGTTCGAGGAGAGTACTGAGTATCTCATGGACTATAAAAAGAACAGACATGTCTTGGAGAAGATGCAACCAGAGTGTTCCTTGGAGGCAAAGATTATAAAGCTTTGTCTCATATATTTTGAGCATGTTGCTACGAGACTACTTCTTGGAGAAGGACATCATGCTTGGAAAGGTGGAGGGCCAGTAGGAGAGGAAGACCCTCAACTACATGAATTGACACAGAGACTGCAGCAATGGGCTCAAGTATGTCAGAGATTATGAGGATGGCACAGGATAAGATAGGGTTCAGATCTGTTGATCACAAGATCACTAGTACTTGATGGCACCTAACATCCACACCAACATCATTCTGAATAGATGTGTTCTATTCCTAACCAAGAAATGGCAGTAACATTGGGGTAGGAGGTTTAAGGCATCTCCTACCACAGAAAACAAAGCTTCATCTTTCTGGAGCCTTCCTAATTCTAATCTTCCTTTAAACATCTTCATCATTACTCAGAAACCTCTCTCCTTCCACTTTTCTCAAACAACAGGTCAAATTGGTACACAAATAGATGATACCTTTTGATAAAAAAATGCAAATTCCGTCTTCTTCACCATGTTCTTAACAGCATGTGATCCTACAGATCATTAGATCAAAGAATAATACCTTTATGGTCTTTGTAGTACAAATGCATACTGCTTTCTTCTGATGTGTCAACTTGCTCACACTGTTGTCCTCCAGAACGAAAAGGCAGAGTCTCTGGTTCACTTAATGGTGAAAGTGATCTTGATCTCATATTGGACATAGGAGATGATGGACTAGGAGTGTGAGATGATGGTGGTACCTTTTCTCTGGAGAATATTCTTTGTTGAGGACCTTTATTCATTGCAAGAATAAAGCCAGATGTCCATCAAAACCTGCAAGACAAAAGGAGGTTAACACTATCACAACTGCAAATTAATTCCTTCCTAAAACACTATGACTAAACTTTCAACAGTATAAAGTTATAAACTCTATTAATTCAAACCATTCACAGCACTGCAAGTAATGGAGTAGCCACTATTTACCGCATTGCTGATTACCTGGCCAGAGGGTAAAGAGACTTCCTGAGGGTCTTATAATGATAATTAAATGCTCTAGCCAAAAATGACACTTGTTATTTTGGGTCTTAATTCACTGGGGGGGGGGGAGGACCTAATTACAAGGTTCTTTCTATCTACATGGAATTCCTGAATAGCAGAAGCTGGAAATATGTGGCGACAAAGAATATTTAATACTTATAAACAAGCTCTATTCTTAAAACTGTTTCTTCCTTTGGCTTTTGGGACACCAGTCCCGAGATTCCATCTACCTTCATGGACATTCTTTTTACCCCTTATTTGTTGGGTTTTGCCCCCTGGTCAACCTTTAAAAGTCAAGCACCCTCTAGAGTGTTTCTCTAATCTCACCTTCGACAACATGATAACGACTCATGACTCCTAGTATCAACTGTATTGCTATGTACCATCAAGTGTGAACTGACTCATGGCTGACTCTCCAACAGGTCTTGAGGGCAGAAAATCACAAAGGAGACTACCCATCTTTCTTCTGCAGAACAGCTGGTGGATTTGAACCATGAGCCTTTGGGATGGTAGCACAACTCCTTACCACTATGCCACCAGAACTCAGTATCAACCACTTATAGATATTTATATCTTCTAGTCAACCCTTCTCTGAGCTTCAGACACCTATTTCCAGCTCTTTCTCATTGCTGTCAAGTCAGCTCACAATAATAGTTGACCTTTCAGCATATTTCCAAGGATATAAATTTAATAAGAGGAGACTGCCCGCTTCTCTCCAAGGGATGACTGGTGGGTTTCAACTGCCAGAGAGCTCAACCTCTGAGTTACCAGCACACTTTCTATGGATTAATTACATGATGAGAGTTCCAGGAGTTGATGGAATATCAATTAAGGTGTTTCAACAAATAGATAACAGCCCTGAATGTGCCCATGCCACACAATTTAGAATACAGCCATTGCTTCCCATTCTAAAAAAGGTAGTTCAATCAAGTGTGGAAATTATAGAACAAAATCATAATACCACATACAAGCTGATCTTTTTTAAAAAAAAAATAGCTGGAACAGTCCATTAACAGAGAACTGCTAGAAATTCAAGCTGGATTCAGAAAAGGTCATAGAACAAGATGTATTGCTGATATCAGATGGGGCTTGGCTGGAAGTAAATAATATCAGAACAATGTTTACTTGGGCTTTATTGACCATGCAAAGGCATATATGACTGTGTGGATCATAATTACGGATAACATTAAGAAGAACAGAAATTTCAGAACACTTAGTTGTGCTCATGTGAAATCTATCATAGATCAAAAAGCAGTTAGAACAGAACAAGGGAAAACTACATGTTTTAAAAATCAGGAAAGGTTTGTGTCAGGGTTGTATCTTCCCTTCATATCTATTCAAGCTGTATGCTAAGCAAGTAATTTGAGAAGATGGACTATATGAAGAATATGGCATCAAGATAGAAGAATGATCCATCAACAACCTGTTATGCTTATGATACAACCTTGCTTACAGAAGTAAAGAAGACTTGACACATTTAATGAAGAAGACCAGAAACTATAACCTTCAATATAGATAGCAATTCAAAATCAAGTGAACAAAAATCAACAGTCCAGAATAAGAGATGCATAGCAAAGTGGACTGGAGTTAGGGGGAGAGGGAGGAAATTATGCAACAATGAATGAATGGGTTTTTTTAAAAAGTGAACTGAGGTGGGGGGTAGGGAAGAAAATGTGCAACAATGAACGAATGAAAATCCAACTTTTCTATAAACTTTTGTTAAAATGACAATTTTAAAAAAAAAAGAAAAATCCTCACTACTGGACTGACAATCAGTTTAAAAACTAAGGTATGCCTGACCCAAGCTATGGTATTTTCAATTGTTCTGTACGAATCTAAAAGTTGTACAATGAATAAGGAAGACTAAAAAAAAAAAGAAAGAAAACCAATGTCTTTAAACTGAATATCCCATGGACTGCCAAAAGAACAAATCTGTCTTGGAGGAAGTATAACTAGGTGCTGAGGAGGACCTAAAGCACCTGCTGCAAAAAATCAACAACTATACTCTTCAATATGGACTAAAGCTCAACATGAAGAAGATATAGATTCTCACTATTGGGCCAAGGCCAACTGGCAGCACCATGATTGATGGAGAAGGATTTGAGGTTGTTAATAATTATAGATTGCTTCGCTCCACAATCAACACTCTTGGCACCAGCAATTGAGAAATCAAAAGATAAATTGCACTGGGAAAATCTACCGTCAGGGACCTCTCTAGAGTGCTGAAAAGCAACAATGTCAGTCTAGAGACTAAGGTGTGCCTGCTTCAAACCATGGTCTTCCTAATTACTTACTATGCATCAGAGAACAGGACAATGACTATGGATGACAGAAGAATTGATGCCTTTGAGTTATGGTGCTGGAGAAGAGTCTTGAACATACCATGGACTGCCAAGAGAACAAACAGGTCTGTCCTGGAGAGGGTGAAATGGAATTTCACCTTGGAGGCAAGGATTTTGAAGCTCCATCTCACATACTTTGGGCATGTGGCCAGGAGGGACCAGTCCTTGGAGAAAGGTATCATACTCGGAAGGGTGGAGGAACAGTGCAGGAAGGGAAGACCCCAGTGAGATTGACACAGTGACTAGGATATCAGGGGTAGGTGAGTCAGAGTCAGTGAGACTGGCTCAGGATAGGACAGATTTCAGAGCTGCTGTACGTAGGGTTGCTATGAGTGCCTTGATGGCACCTAACAACAACAATCATGGTCTCTGCCTCACGTAGTCTGTCTCCTTCTTTAAGACCTAGAACAATGTAATTAAAATTACTGTTTCTTGCCTGTTTTCTATAAAATACACTGTAAGACAGCAGTAGCTATGTCTGTCTGATTCAGTGCACAAGAGGCACTTGTTCAATGAATTAAATCTTAACAATATTACTTTGCCAAGATGCTGTATAAAATAAAACTTAATAATCTCATTTTATAAGTGGAAACGTATCATTAAAATCAAGATCGTGGATTCTATAACTAGACAACCGACTCTTCCACTCACCGTAGGACAGTAGGCAAATTATTTCTCTAGGCTTCTGTTTCCTCACTTTAAAACCAAGATGATGACCTCAGGCAGGTTTTGTAAAAGACAAATGAATTAATACATGTGAAGTACTTAGAACCCTATGTGACACATGGCAAGCACTCAAAAGTGATTAGCAAATGTGTTCACAAATGAGGAAATGCAGGCTCAGAAAGGAACAACAGGCCCACTGACGAAATGCCGTAAATTATCATGAATAGGGTGGCACAATCAAGACTGAAGCCCAAATCTGCATCTTCAACTCCTACTATAACGGTGTTTTAACCATTATAAAACCCAGTCTTCACTCGTCCCCTTTTAACTTTCGGTTGCAACATCCTCTTTCTGTCCTGTACGCGGCAACGCGCGGGCACACACAAACTCTTCCTGACAGACACCGGGCACCCTTCACTATCTGCCCCTTCCGAGCGACCCCATGTTCTGGGCGCAGCAGCTCCGCATCTTCTGACCCTACGACCCACACAGCCCTAGACGCCCCCACCCCCGACCTCCACCCAGCTCACTGACACCTCCCTCCTTCATCCAACTCCCCACGCCCGTTCCGGGCCCTCCTCTCCTTCCCATCCAATCCCAATTCCAGGGCACACGCCCCCGCCCCAGCCCAGCCCGGCCCAGCCCACCTTACGCTTGGTCCTCTCGCCTCGGCGCCCGCCTGCCACTGCTTTTTCCACATGCGGAGGAAGAGCATCGACTGGCCTGCCACTCACCGCCTCGGAGCCGGGCAGAGCAGCCGGACCGACAAGACAGGCAGGAAGCGAGCTCGTCCTTCCCTTCAGGCGCCTAGTGGCGCGGCAGCCATCTTGTAATGTTGTGCCGGTTGCCGAGAGGCAGAGCGCGCGGCGTGGGCGTGACTATCGGCCACGCCCTTGTACCGTTGAGGGGGCGGAGCTCTGCTTCCCGCCTTGTGTACCGCCTCGCTGTCCGGCGCGGGAAGGCCCCGCGCGGTGCTGTTAGCGTGTCACACCTGTCCACTCCTGGAATGATGTCTATCGGCACGCTTCTCCGTGCGTGGGTTTATTCTAAGACGAATTCTGCTGATGTTCTAGTTACGAATGAACCTCAGCGTGCACTGGGACAACTGTTGTTATATGCCGTTGAGTCGTTTGCGACTCATAGCGACCCTATGTACAAACAGCCCTAAATTCTGCTCTGTCCTGTGCCAATCGCACTGCCTCTGACACACCCATCCCGATTACCCAAGTCACTGAATCAATCCATCTCATAGAGGGTCTTCCCCTCCTGCGCCGTCCCTCCACCCTCACAAGCATGATGTCCCTCTCCAAGGACCTGTCCCTCCTTACAACATGTCCAAAGTATGTCAGATGAAGCCTCAAATTCCTTGCCTCCAAGGAGTAGCCTGGTTTAACCCTCTCCAGGATGAATCTGTTTTCTTGACAGTCCATGGTACATTCAATACTCTTCTCCAGCACCACAGCTCAAAGGCATCAATTCTCCTTCTATATCCTCCTTAGTCACTGTACAACTCTCTGATGCATAACAAGTGATTGCAAAGACCATAGCCTGTATCAGACGCACCTTAGTCTATTCCTGCTTCCAGTGGAGAACATTTGAGGAGACTTAACTTGTGACTGACCGACAAGTAAAGCATTTAGCTACATAGTACCATATGTTGATCAGGTATTTTTAAGAGAAATTATGAAGGAAATACAGTGAATTTTTGCTATTATCAATGGCACATTCCTCTGTTCCAACCTCCTGTTTCCAAAATTACACACCCGCCTGTGCAGTATCCACAAATAT